GACTTCAATGAATGGTCTAATGGTGTTGTCTCTAAAGTTAACAGCAATGTAACAGGGAGCCTTCCTGACTTCAATGAATGGGCTAATAGTGTGGCACAAAATACCTTTCAATTACTTCAGAGCTCTCCCAACTTCACTGAGCTTGATGAACAAATATTACAAACTACAAGAGATTCTGCACAAAAGCTAATAAACATTGTCAATACTCTCTCTAATCTACAAGACACCAGTACCTCTACTGCTGGAGTGGTTGATGATATACTACTAATAGCACAAGAACTATTAGCACTACACAATGACTCAACTGTTTTCCCCACTACCTCTTGTAAAGAGATTAAGGAGAGACAACCACTCAGTCCATCAGGTGTGTATCTACTGTCAAATACTAGTTCTACTTATACTGCTTACTGTAATATGGAGGAGTTGTGTAACTCTGCTGGTGGATGGACAAGATTAGCATATCTGGATATGACTGATGCTACACAGAACTGTCCTTCTGGGTTTAGACTGTACCAGTCAGGAGGAGTTAGAGCTTGTGGTAAATCAAGTGGTGGCTGTGTATCAGTTCAGTTCCCATCTAATGGTATCAGTTATTCTCAGATATGTGGTAGAGTAACAGGATATCAATATGGCCATGTAGATACTCTTAATTCTTTTTATGGTATTGATTCTCCTTACGTTGAAGGTGTTAGTATCACTCGTGGGTCTCCTCGTCAACATGTCTGGACACTAATAGCTGGTTATAATCAAGTTTCATCAAGCTCATGTCCATGTAATACTGGTAGTACAATATCAGTGCAGTCTTTTATTGGTAATAATTACTTCTGTGAATCAGGGAATCCTAATAGTAGCCCATCAAGTACCCTCTACACGTCTGATCCACTATGGGATGGTCAAGGTTGTGGTTCTCTTGAATCACCTTGTTGTAATGCTCCTGGTATCCCATGGTTTCACAGAGACTATGGTAGCAATACCACTACTGACTATATTGAGTTGAGGGTGTGTACTAGTATCAGTGGTGAAGACAGTCCTGTTAGTTATTATGAGATTTATGTTAAGTAGTGAAGTGTGTGTGCGTGTGATATATTACCAAACAGTATAATAATTTTTTAAAGTGCTGTTTATGATTTAGCTTTTTTCATGTAGTAGTTCTATCTTTAAAAAATTCTAACATGAAAATCAGATCTATAAAATACAACTAATTGGTATTACAATTGGATTATCAAGTCAATGAGTGCAAAAATTATACTTGCAAAGCAGGCATTACCAATATTACATGCAAAGTTAAGGACATAGCAACTATAGTAACACAATGACAACAGCTGACATTCAATACAGCAATGTCTCAGTTTATTTATTAAGTCGAAGTATACTACAAAGCAATCAAAAAGATGCATGTACAATTATTTCCATAAGCCTATTACAGTGAATAGAATTCACATTAATTTGGCTTGAAGCCAACATAAGGGGAGAATACTAACTAAAACTGACCTCCAGACCACTTGAATGACCTCTACACACTTGCTATCATCACAGACAATAAAACTAATGATATCATGGAACACAAGGACACCTTCATATAAACATTCAAATTGTTTTTCTTTATTTTTTTTATTAGATATGGTAGCACCGGTCAGTATCTGGAATCAATTGGGTTTACTCTGAAGATAAAGAATCATTGAAATCAATACTTCTTCATTAGCATAGATCTGATCTTCATTATATAACATTAACTTTTATTAAAAAATAAATTTATAGTTTTTTGTGATAAAGGCGTTGTGTCCTTATTCATTTTTATCTTTTTACTTCTTGTCTCTGGTGATGTAACTGAGCTCTTTCTTTTTTTAATGAGTACTTTGTCAGGAGTAGTAGTGCCAGATCTAATAGCATCATTTCCAATTGACGTGTTTTCTATTGGCCTGAGAACAGGAGGCTCTGGGGTAGGGTAAAAGAAAAAGAGAACGTGGCCTTGAAATCTTTTCTAAAGTAATAATTCTTATTGATACAAGTACGTTCCTCAAGCTTCTTATATAGCAGCAAAACTGACTCACTTTTGCAGTAAAAAAGAATGTGTGCAAATGATAAGTTTTGCCTTGTACAATGTACATATAATCAAGGCAAAGAATCACTAGCTTTGTGCTAAGTAAGCGCATACCATTAATAAGAAAGTGCAAGTACATGTACATGTACATGTATCAGAGAAGGTAAGGAGAGGAAAAGAGGAGCAAATAACTAAGTTGCTGTACCTTGTTTTTCTGTACTCCTTTCGGCATATCCTATCATTTCTTCTCTCCCTCTCTCTTTTACTTCATTTGTTCTCCAAATTCTCAAGTCACACGAATCAGAACATGTCACAATCTATTGACATAATGATCACATCAGTATGGGGGCAATTAAAATTACTGAGTAGAGGCGTTGTGTCCTTATTCATATTTATCTTTATTCTTTATCTCTGATGATGCTGAGTTTTTTCTTCTTTTACAAATGACCTGGAGGTGAAGTCCCCAGGTCATCCTTAAGATTGCACTGTTGTGCTATCTGATACCATTTTTTAATCCTACAAACAAACGTGTGTATGCCCCAATAAAACATGTATAAAGGAGAGTAAGATTTTTTTATTGCCACTATTTATTCATAAATTACCCTTGTCCATGCTAATGATGATAAAGTTGCATTGCTGGTACTTTTTTAGTTAGCCCATCACAGATTCTCTATACACATCTGATTCACTCTGGGTTGGTCACAGTTGTGAGTTAAATTTGTAATGATGTTCTTGGTAAATCTCTCCCAAGAGAAACATGGTCAATGGCCATGTTTGATATTGTTAACATAGTTGATGGCAATGTGAAATAATTCTTATGGTTGCATGACTACATAATGTAGTGCTAATTCTTTATAAGCATCACATACTCTCTATTTTTAATACATGTACACACAGAATGCAGCTACCATTTCTCTGTATTATGTAAACATAATCACTAAGCAAGTGTGGATACTATGCACAACTCTCTCTAGATAAGTGATCCCAGGCTATGTTCTCAACTACTTATCTCATAGGAGTTATGTACCCATAACACCTCCAGACAAGGAGTTATCCTACACTTATGTACTAATATTGCATAATATTTTTACTACCAGACAATATATAAATACTGCTGCAACCACATAAAGTAACTACTTTTGAAAATTTAGAACGGCTAGATCCTGCTACTTCAAGTGCAATGGAAGAAAAGAATAAGTATGAGCTCGATATGCCATCTTTGGTTCTGCAAAATCCGGAGAATGACTACGAATTGGTGGATTTTAGTACTAATGCAAGAAGAGATAATGCTCGGCCAACAGAAACAACACTAAGGAAAAAAGCATCAGAGCAGAAAACATGGAAGAGACTGTTACTTGTTATAGCTGCATTACAGTGCCTCATAGTATTACTACTGCTGGCATTACTTGCTTTAATGCTGCTACAATTATATGCCAGAGATGCCATCTCTCCTGATCATACCAGTACCAGTACTGCTGGAGGTATTGCTAGCACTGGTAACATAGTCTTTCCTAACTTCACCAAATGGTCCGATAATATAGTCATTAAAGTTCACCAGAGTCTTCCTGACTTCAATGAATGGGCTAACCGTGTTATCTCTAAAGTTAACAGCAATGTAACACAGTGCCTTCCTGACTTCAGTGAATGGGCTAACAGTGTTGTCTCTAAAGTTAACAGCAATGTAACAAGGAGCATTCCTGACTTCAATGAATGGGCTAACGGCGTTGTCTCTAAAGTTAACAGCAATGTAACAGGGAGCCTTCCTGACTTCAATGAATGGGCTAATGGTGTTGTCTCTAAAGTAAACAGCAATGTAACAGGGAGCCTTCCTGACTTCAATGAATGGGCTAATGGTGCGGCACAGAATACCTTTCAATTACTTCAGAGCTCTCCCAACTACACTGAACTTAATGAACAAATCTTACAAACTACAAGAGATTCTGCACAAAAGCTAATAAATATTGTCAATACTCTCTCTAATCTAGAAAATACCAGTACTTCTACTGCTGGAGTGGTTGATAATATACTACTAATAGCACAAGAACTATTAGTGCTACACAATGACTCAACAGCAGTAATGCACAATGACTCAACTGCTTTACCTACCTCTTGTAAAGAGATTAAGGAGAGGCAACCACTCAGTCCATCAGGTGTGTATCTACTGTCAAACACTAGTTCTACTTATACTGCTTACTGTAATATGGAGGAGTTGTGTAACTCTACTGGTGGATGGACAAGACTAGCATATCTGGATATGACTGATGCTACACAGAACTGTCCTTCTGGGTTTAGACTGTACCAGTCAGGAGGAGTTAGAGCTTGTGGTAAATCAAGTGGTGGCTGTGTATCAGTTCAGTTCCCATCTAATGGTACCAGTTATTCTCAGATATGTGGTAGAGTAACAGGATATCAATATGGCCATGTAGACACTCTTAATTATCATGTCGGTATTAATTCTTATTATGTTGATGGTGTTAGTATCACTCGTGGGTCTCCTCGTCAACATGTCTGGACACTAATGGCTGGTGGTAATCAAGTCTTTTCTTATGAATGTCCATGTAATACTGGTAGTACAGTATCAGTGCAGTCTTTTATTGGTAATAACTACTTCTGTGAATCTGGTAATCCTTATAGTAGCACATCAAGTACCCTCTACACATCTGATCCACTATGGGATGGTCAAGGTTGTGGTTCTCTTGAATCACCTTGTTGCAATGTTCCTGGTATCCCATGGTTTCACAGAGACTATGGTAGCAACACCACTACTGACTATATTGAGTTGAGGGTGTGTACTAATGCTGGAGGTGAAGACAGTCCTGTTAGTTATTATGAGATTTATGTTAAGTAGTGAAGTGTGTGTGTGTGTTAGCAATTTTGCATGTGTGTGATAACCTTCATAGAACATTGTGATAATTTTTCTCTTAAAGTGCTGTTATAATTAACTTTTTCATGTTGTTGATCTACCTTTAAATATTTTTAAAACATAAAATAAAAATCAGACCTATAAAAATACAACTAAAATTGGTATTACAACTGGCATTACCATTTCTGTTAATATTGCAAAGTTAATGACATGGCAACCAATAACACAATGACAGTATATAACATAAGCTGATATTCAATACAACAATGTCTCATTGTTGTATTGAATACAGTACAAATCAAAGCAACAGTTATTATATTCATAGTCATGTTTACTGCAATCAAAAAGATATACATGTACAATTATTTCCACAAGCTTATGTTATTTATTACATTAAACCGGTTTGAAACTAATAAAGGCTAGTTTACAATACGACGTTGGGCCAACGTACCGTCAATTTTTAATCAAAAGTGTTGGCAATTTGACCTTTTAATGCATGCTTTCCGCTAGAATAGAACCAGATTCTATTCCTGTGTCAGCGTAACATCAGGACTAGCATAATATTGTAAACCAGCTTTTAGGGGAGAAAACTAACTGACCTCCAGACCAGTACTCGACGACCTCTACATACCTGCTGTAATCACAGACAATAAAACCAGTAATCTCACAGAGCACAAGGACACCTTCATATAAACATTCAAATTGTCTTTCTTTATTTTTCATTAGATGTGGTAGTACCATACAGTCAGTATCTGGAATCAATTGGGTTTACTCTTGAAGATCAAGAAATCATCGAAATCAATACTTCTTCATTAGCACAGATATACATGTAGCCTTCATTATAATTTACAACATTAACTTTTATTAAAAAATGAATTTATAGTTCTTTGTGATAGAGGTGTAGTGTCCTTATTCACTTTTATCTTTTTACTTTTCATCTCTGGTGATGTAACTGAGTTCTTTCTTTTTTTAATGAGGACTTTGTCAGGAGTAGTAGCGCCAGATCTAATAGCATCATTTCCAATTGATGTGTTTTCTATTGGCCTGAGAACTGGAGGCTCTGGGGTAGGGTAAAAGAAAAGGAGAACTTAGCCTTGAAATCTTTTCTAAAGTAATAATTCTTATTGATACAAGTACGTTCCTCAAGCTTCTTATATAGCAGCAAAACTGACTCACTTTTGCAGTAAAAAAGAATGTGTGCAAATGATAAGTTTTGCCTTGTACAATGTACATATAATCAAGGCAAAGAATCACTAGCTTTGTGCTAAGTAAGCGCATACCATTAATAAGAAAGTGCAAGTACATGTACATGTACATGTATCAGAGAAGGTAAGGAGAGGAAAAGAGGGGCAAATAACTAAGTTACTGTAACTGTACCTTGTTTTTCCGTACTTCTTTCGGCATATCCTATCACTTCTTCTCTCCCTCTCTCTTTTACTTCATTTGTTCTCCAAATTCTCAAGTCACACGAATCAGAACACGTCACAATCTGTTAACATAATGATCACATCAGTATAGGGGCGATTAAAGGCTGGTTTATACAATACTGTATAGCGGGAAATTTTCGAGGATAACAAATTTTGCGAATTTCCCGGATTTTTTCACGATCCATGAAATTAAATTCCTTGAAAATCAATTTAATACGGTACAAGATGGCAGATTAGTGGAAATTTGCGAAAATTAATCCGCAAACTTCCGGATATGGGTCATTCACAAAATTTATTATCCTAAAAAAAACCCGCTATACGGTATGACATTAGGCCAACGTATCACCAATTTTTAATCAAAAGGGTGGGCGATTTGACCTTTTGATGCATGCTTTCTGCTAGAATAGAGCCAGATTCTATTTCAGCATCAACATAACGTCAGGACTAGCGTAATGCTGTAAACCAGCCTTAAAATTACTTGAAAATTTTTTGATATTAGATGTTGCTGTTCCTATTACATTAATTAACTGGAACAATTACTAGTACGTGTCAGTACATGATACTAAGCTCCAGATACTTTTAAAATTTCTTTTAAAATCCAATTTTAATTAGATTCCGCTCAAAGTTTCTAGACAACATAAGTACATGCATATGCATCAGAAAAATTGTAAAAATAGAAAAATCCCTCTCAGTCATTTTTGACAAAATCTGATCAATGACCGTGTACTATAGTACAGGGTCTTTGGCCTGATTTTGGAGCAACTTTAAAAATTCTTTAAAAAATCCAATTTTGATCAGAATCAGCTAAAAGTTTCTACACAATATTAGTACATGTATATACATCAGAAAACATTATAAAAATGGAGAATTCTCTCCTAGCCATTTTTCATGAAATACACTGTACTATAGCCTATGGTCATTCGTCTAAATTTTGAAGCAATTAAAAAAACAAAATTGATCAGAATAAGCCCAAACTTTCTATGTAACATAAGAGCATTAGTTACCTTATCCAGCTGAGATGGACACCAGGCCACAGCTGTGACCTCAGTATCATGACCGACCAGCAAAGTGGGAGGAGAACGAGGTTTCTGAGTATCCCATATCACAGCATTCTTATGGGTAGAACCAGATAATAAAAACCTTGAACAGAGAAAGAAAAAAGAGATAGGAAAATTTCAATCTTTTATGTAACAGGTAAAAAGATAGAAAATCATTTGACCAAGCTCATATAAAATACACATAATTATAAATTTAAATTCATAATGTACATGTACATATACAATACATCTATACAGTACATGGACATGTGTCTATATGTACATGCACATGATGTGCCATTACCTTCCACAGACACTCAGTGCTGTCTTTATATAGTAACTTTGATTCTTATGACCAGTAAACACATCAACTAATGTTAGGAAGATGTGAATGATAAAGAGATAGAAAAATGACTAAACGAACTTGGTACATTCTTTAAAGTCACACTATCATAAACATAAATCCTAAAAAATACAAAAAAGATCAATTACATCAACACAAGTAACACAAGCATGTGTATACATTACACTAGATGTAATCAGTGTCCTACTTGTTATCAGTGGAAGCAGCATAAAGAAGAGATTGGTATGGATCACTTAGTAATGATGTGATACCTAAAAATAATAATAATTATTATTATAAATATTTAAAGTATAACCATAGCTAAATGAAATAGCTTACCATGACTCCCATACATGAACGTGTGAGATGGAGTGGGTGTGGTAGTTCTACCTCTTACATCCCATAGCTTGATACAACTATACAATAACAGAAGAAACACATCAAATACATTATACTATAATAGCCGCAAGAGTTAAATTTGGTGATTCTTTTGTTAAAAAAACTTGCAATGGGCAGATTTTGTATTGGTGATTTAGCAGCCATGAGTCATTGAGTAAGCTTAGAATGAAACAAAATGGTTGATTTTATCTTGACAGATGCTCATTGCAGCTACCAATATTAATATCCTCAAATATTTCCAGCTACACTGTATACCGTATAGCTAGAAAATTAGGCGAATTGACTTCAAAAGAGGTTTGGAGGTTAAAATTTGGTGAAATTTTAATTCTGTGTATGCTTCTATGGAACTCTATGAAATTGGAAACTAAAAATTTGGCAAATGGACCTTAATTCACCAAAATTTTACTCTGCCAAATTTTCTAGCTATACAGTATACAGTACACCCAACTCTGTAATAATAATCAATGGACTCACCTATCAGCAGCACCTGAGGACGCTACATAATGATCACGATGAAACAGAACAGACGTCACAGCAACCTGTTTCATGCTTACCTAATAAGGCAATTGTAATACATGTACATGTATAAATGATAGTTTACGATGGATTTCCTTCTGCTTGAAGAATTTGATAGTTTAATTTCTGAATTGTCTAAGTGAGCGTTTGGTACTTTACTGATAGGAACAGTGAAACCATCTGTACATAGGAGAGAGAGAGAAGAGAGAGGGAGGGGAAGAGAGAGAGGGGGGAGAGAGAGAGAGAGGAAGAGAGAGAGAGAGAGAGAGAGAGAGAGGGAAAGGAAGAAAATACAGATAAGTGTTTTTTGAGGGTCGCAAATTTTAAATATTTCGTGGATTTATTTTCTTCCTTATTTGCAGAAGTAAAATCTGCAAAAAATCAATTTAATACGGTACCCACAGGGTACATGGCAAAATTCATGAAATTAAAATCTGCAAATTGGAATTTTAGTAGATTTTGCGAAACATAATTCTCTTGAAAAACCCACTAATACAGTAATAAGGAAGAGAAGAGAGACACTAACCTTTACTGCTAGAGCAACGAGTGTCCCAAATTAAAATATTCCCTCCTCTACCACCCGAAACTACCACACCTACAAGAAATAGTTTAATAATTAAAATGAAATGATTTACATGGATTTGATTCGTCGATATCAACTGATTTGACGCTTCCAGTGTGACCTTTAAACCTCCTCAAAGCTGTACAGTCATTGATGTCCCACTGAACCAGTTTAGAATCACCAGATCCAGTTACCTAGGAAACAAGAATATTAATAAACACTTACTAACCAGTACGATGGCTACTGACCAGATGAGTGCTACCGGAAAATGCGAAATCAAAAATTGCATTTTTATGTCCCTTCCATTCTATTTAAAATGATCGTAGAGCGAAAGAAATTATTTCACTGATATACCTTTAATTAGAGAATGCTGTGCTGGCTTTTGTGAGTTCAAGAGCTTAATAGATCCATCTTCATCGGCAGTGACCAGCAGGTTACCATGAAGACCAGAGGGACTGAATTTACAAGCAAATGGAGGCACCGGCTCCTATAAAAGACATAAACAGCATGAAGTGTAAATTGGTTTTTACTCCTTCTCTTCCGTAAAAGAAAACGCTGTCTTCCGAGATACACTTGAACCTCTGTAGAAATCCATGTCCTAGAATATCTAAATACAAGTGATTTAGATAGTTTGGCGGCTGTTCTCTCTTACCTCCTCTCTGGAAAAGAGCTCTCCTATCAGATACGAGACCAGCCATTGGGCGCCTTTTTACCCGCCAAAACAGCTGACTTATTAAGGCGTGGTCCACTAAAAGGCGTGGCTGCCATGCCCTTTAATTAAACTCACCTTTATCTTTCGATATAAAACTGACCTGTGCAGCTTTGTTTGAGATAATCAGCAGTCAGCAGACTGTACAGGATAAAGACCTAGCTACTATATAGTAAGTTAGAATAAAGTCCATACTGTTAGTATTGCATCTATTATTGCATTGTTTCAGGCTTGGTTCTTTATCATTGTGGAAACACACACTGTTATCTATACAAATGCTTCTTTGGGAGGAGTAAAACAATGGAGGAGAACAACAATGTCACTGGGATATCGATCAAACCACTCCCACCTCTTGATACCTTGTCCCGTAAGGAACTGAGTGACTTAGTCTCAATAGAGCTGACCGATACAAGATACAGTACCAGGAGACGCTCATCGTTACACGAAAAGAGAGAGACCCTAACTTGCTGTACGTTTAGCAATCGTTCGAAAGCCTACAAAAATCTTTTAGGTACCAGTGCTTCATTCGTTGCGGTTTTTGGATCGTATTTGGGTATCTTAGGTCTACAAAGCTCAATAAATTCAGAAGCTGGTCTTGGCCTAGCTTCATCTGCTATTATCTATGGGACGCTCATAATTGCCTGTTTCTTTGGGCCTGGGATGGTAAAACTCTTGGGTACCAAATACTCCCTCATTACTGGCTACATATTATTTTTTTGTTACACTCTCTGTAACTATTACCCATCCTGGTACACTCTAGTCATTGGTGCCATTTTGAATGGTATCGGGCAAGCCCCACTATGGATTGCTGTTTTTGGTCACCCCATAGCCATAGCGATACTATACTGTAAAGACCTCAAAGAGACCCCAAGGCATGCCATAGCTTTCTTCACAGGGATCATAGCTGCGTCCATAAAACTTGCTCAAATATTTGGAAGTCTCATATCCTCCATAATATTAGTGAATGTGGACAGCACGGAAAACAATGGAGCAGCAAACCTTACCAATACTTCAACAAACAATGGAGAATGTGTTGATACATTTGGTCCTCCTATTGAGCCAGGCCCTATATACTACACATTGATTTCTGTGTATGCTTTGGCTGGTATTATTGGAACTATAATAGCAGCTGTGTTTCTTGATCATTTGGGTACCGAAAAGAAGTATCTCTCTGCAGGACAGATGTGTAAAGTGTACGTGGGGGAGAATTTTTTGCTCGTCGTGAAGACTTTCTTCAATTGGAAGTATCTCCTGATAATGCCATGGATTATTTTGAATGGAGTCATGCTTGGATTTATCACCGGCACATTCCCAAAGGTAGTGGCAATAAATAATAGTGATAATAATAAGTAGTAGTAATGATAATAATAAGTAGTAATGATAATATTAAGTAGTAGTAGTAATAATAATATTTTTGTTTTTTTGTTTTTCTCCTACATGTACGTGTACTGTACATACTTTATTTCTTTCTTTTATCTACCCTATCCTAAGTACATTTAAGTGCTTTTTATTTGTTAATAATAATAATAATAATAATAATAATAACAATAATAATAATGATAGTAATAATGATCATTAATAGAAACCTGTTATTACTTAAATTATTAGAGATTGGTTTCAAATTCCTTTTACAGAATAATGCTTATTAAATATATCATTTTATTCACTTTTCCTCACTCTCTTTACAGGTGTACATATTGGACTGTGTTGGTATACAGTGGATTGGTTTTGTACTAGCAGCCTATGGTGTGGGTGGTGTATTCTCTTCAGTATTTACTGGACGCATAGTTAGATTCATACCACAGTTCATTGTAGCTTATGCTGCCCTGAGTCTCTCGTTTGCTCTAGTGATGATCCTCCTGTTCTGGGAGAGACAGCCTAACTTTGTGTTTCTCTTTGGGTTTCCTATCGGATGGGGAATATGTGAGAGTGTCTACAACTCAATATCTCCAGGTTAGGCAGTTATGAGTGATTTCAAGCACATTGTTTTACTAATTTCTAACAAGCATTAGCTAGTAATAGCGAGGAGTACATAATACCTATACTAGTATACTGTAGCTCCTAAAATGTTAACTAGACATGTGTTAACTAGATAAGGTTTCTGTTTACAAGTATTCGTTTCCTTGGATGATGGTGCTTACCCATACACATCTCGCTTGTGTTTACTTCCATTAGTAATAACAAGAGTAGATAAGGGGGTAGATACTCTTGGTAATAATATAGTATATCCTTAGGATTTCTATTTAGTATTTACAAGTGTTTGTGTCCTTGTTGGATGATTGTGCTTGCCCATACATATCTTGCTTCTGTTTCTTAATATATTCTAGCCTTATGATGGCTAGGATTTACAAGTGTTTATGTCCTTGGTTTATGGTATGTCTCCATATCTTGCTTGTGTTTCCCTTCTATTACCATATAGCCGGAAAGTTTCGTGGCCAAAAACTTTCGTGGTTTTCGTGGTTTAGAAGGGCACCACGAAATTAAAAACCACGAATAATTTTAATTATTATTGAAAAGGTGTGGTATTATAGCAAATTAATGAGAGGCATGGCTGCTTTAATGATGATCCACGGAAATAAAAACCATGAATAGGCCAGAAACCTCCAAACCACGAAAGTTTTTTGCCATGAAACTTTCCGGCTATATGGTATTATACTTTAATCATGTACATGTATAATTGTATATGCACCATTTCATAGATTCGTATGCAGGGTTTCCCACAAGATTTATCCATAGTGCACAGCTTTTTGTCAGTTGCTCAAGAATCTGGTCAAAGACCCTAGTACAGGGACTTTGGCTAAATTTTGCGAAAAGTGAAAAGGGGAGAATCCTCCATTTTAATAATTTTTTGATGCATATACATGTTCCAATATTGTGTAAAAATTTTGAGCTTATCTCTGATCAAAATTGAATTTTTTACAAATTTTTAATGTCGCTCCAAATGTCATGTACTTTATTGTAGTGCTTGTCAGCTCATGAAGCTCATGCTGTTTAGCTCACTTAGCATGCTTTGTGGGAAACCCTGTCTGTACCTCCTTCTATATTTACACAATTTCATTATTGTCTCTCTTCCCCTCTCCCTCTCCCCTTCTCTCTTTCTTCATACAACTCATCTTACACAGCACTACTAAGCCAGTGGTTTCAAGACAAAGAGCATGAGGCTGCACTTAGTCTGCTACAAGTCTCCATCGCAATCGGATTTATAATTAGCTTCGTGGGTGGGATATACCTAAACACAGAAACTAGACTATGGATAATAACAGCATTCATACTATTGTCTTCCGTCACGTACACGCTTGTGTTCTTCCTTACAAGCTGTAACAAGCAGCAACTCCTACCATGCCTTTATGGAGGGGAGGTAGGTGAGACAGAGAGTGGAACAGAGCAAAGAGAGGAAGAAGATGTCATACAAGACTATGAGGTGACTGATAATGGCTCTCCTTGGAACAGGTTTAATCCATTGAGTACCAGGCCTAGTATAACTGTTAGAGACTCACATGAAATTGAAGAGAAGAAGAAGGAAATTGAGGCAAGAGAGGATGAAGAGGGGATGAGAAATGGCTCATCACGTTTGAGAAATTTCAAGCAATCTAGTGTGTAAATAAATTTTTTTTTTGGAAAATCAATTTTCTACATAATTTGTTAATTGATACTTAAGTTATTTTTACTTTGTCACTTGTTGATAAAGAAACTTTGTATGATTATAAATAATTAATATTTATTTGCAATTTCAATAGTAATAAGTTATACATTCTTGGTGAAATAAGTGGCACTGCAATACATGGCCAAAAGCACTACCTGAGATGATTGTGTTATGTGTTAAGTTAAAAAGTAAATGAAGTTGTTTCAAAATAATGCATGGTATTTCATCAAAAATGGCAAGGATAGAATTCTCCATTTTTATTACATTTTCTGATACACATCTTTTAATGCTGTGTAGAAATTTTGCGCTAGTTACAATCAAAATTAGTCTTATTGTGGTTCTTTAACATTATCACTGTCAATTACATTGAACTGAGTGTGTATGTGTGTGCAAAGACAGTGGATGGAGTGATGAAGATACTCCATGTCAAGTACACATAATAATTGTGTGAACAAATCATAACAAACAGTCCAAAATTGAAAGCTCAAATATTGTAAACTACAATACCTTGATGTGCTAGTTATAATGAAGCCAAATGTGCTGTTATTTATTAATAGTGCCAATTTATATAAAGAAATAGAGCTGTAGATAACCATAAGCAGTGCTAGTAAAGAGATGGAAAACAAGACAATGTCAACAAGCTTTCAAAGTGAAGCTAAGGATTTCAATGAAGAAATGAAGCTAACACAAAACACAGCCTATCAACCAGTAGTAAAGACTGATACTAGTACTGAAGAAGCAATGTACTCAGATCTTCATGACTACTCAGGTATATACCATACAAGTAATTTATTATTGAAACTAATGTATGATATATTTATTAGATTATCAGCTACCAAAAGCTAATGTTAAGGATACCAAACCTCCTCAACAACCAGTGCAGTATACTGTAGGAAAGAAGTCATTAGCTGTAATAATAATTCTACTGGTGATCATAATATTCCTATTGGTAGCTATACTTGTACTTAACTTAATATCAAAAGATACCTTCATGAGTACATGTACAAGTAATGCAAGCAGTAATAGTGCTGGCCTCACTAATAGTGGTAATACTGCTATTAACTGTAACCTGTCACTAATACAGGATAAAATAGATCATTTAATGAAACTGTGTGCCACTAAAAATGACTCATTACTTCAGAGTAATGTGGAATATATCATGGAACAGATTAATGAGCACAATGTTAACAGTAACCTCTCACTGATACAGGATACAATGAATAGCATAATTCAACAGATTATGGTACATGCTAATAATACCAACAGGTCTACAGATGAGCTACTTCAATTACTGAACACTAGTCTTATTAAAGATATTAGTATACCAACTGCTGCTGCTGTTAATGATGTACTACTAATAGTCAATGAATTATTAGTGATACAGCAGAATCGATCCTCTTTGTTTTATTCTGCTATTCGACTCATTTCTTGTAAAGATATTAAAGCAGCTTATCCCGACAGCCCTTCTGGTTACTATTATGTTAACAGTCGCAATATATACTGCAATATGAGAGAGCTGTGTGGACAAGATGGAGGATGGACAAGAATAGCTTATCTTGATATGAATGATATGTCACAGAACTGTCCCTCTGGACTTCAGGAATTGATGACTGGAGGCATTAGAGTTTGTAGGAGAGAGGGTAATTCTGCTGGTTGTAGGTCTAACATATTCCAAACAAATGATATCAGTTATAGTCAAATATGTGGTAAAGTGGTTGGATATCAAAAGGGAAGGACTAATGGAGCCAACACTAACATTGATGATATCAATAATGCTTATATTGATGGAGTCAGTATCACACGTGGGTCACCTCGTCAACATGTCTGGTCTTATATAGCTGGGTTTAGGTCAAGTACTAATGGAGGTTTTACATGTCCTTGCAATACTGGAGCAAATAATACAGTTCCATCATTTGTAGAAAAGCACTACTATTGTGAGTCAGGTACAAACAGTGCTCCTTCCAATGGTACAGTATACACTACTGATCCATTGTGGGATGGAAATAACTGTCTTACAATTGAAGCTCCTTGTTGTAATGGTACTGGTCTTCCATGGTTCTTCAGAGATTATGGTAATGCTACTATTACTGATTACATTGAACTGAGGGTGTGTGGGGATAAAAATTGGGATAATGAAGATACTCCAGTTCAATTGTATGAGGTTTATGTCAAGTAAAGAAACATTTGTATTGTGTGTAGATCATTATTGTGTGTAGTGATAGAATTTATTTGATAGTAGTTTTATAATTACAACAATTATAATTATACTATATGATCTTAGAAACAATACTGCTATGTCACTGCTGTATGTACAAGACATAGCAAAAATGGCTTAATTGGTACCAAGAATAACAAGAAACATAAACGAGTATTATTACTGTGGGAAAAAATCATTATAAATAGTCCAAAATTGAAAGCAGAGATATTATACATGTAGACTACAATACCTTGAAATGCTACAGTTATTAGTAACGCGGTAGCGTTACTAAGTAGGATTCACCCCCAAACAAAATGGCTGCCACGACTTTTGCAGCCTTGCTATAATGAAAACAAACACGCTGTTATTCATCAATAGTGCCAATATAAACACAAGTAAAATTATATAAATAAATAGAGCTTTAGATAACCATAAGCAGTGCTAGGCAAGAGATGGAAAACAAGACAATGTCAACAAATGAAGCTAAGGATTTCACGCTAACACAAAACACAGCCTATGAACCAGTAGTAAAGACTGATACTAGTACTGAAGAAGCAATGTACTCAGATCTTCAGGACTACTCAGGTATATACCATACAAGTAATTTATTATTAAAACTAATGTATGATATATTCATTAGATTATCAGCTACCAAAAGCTAATGTTAAGGATACCAAACCTCCTCAACAACCAGTGCAGTATACTGTAGGAAAGAAGTCATTTGCTGCAATAATAATTCTACTGGTGATCATAATATTCCTATTGGTAGCTATACTTGTACTTAACTTAATATCAAAAGATACCTTCATGAGTACATGTACAAGTAATGCAAGCAGTAATAGTGCTGGCCTCACTAATAGTGGTAATACTGCTATTAACTGTAACCTGTCACTGATGCAGAAAAATGTGGAGGATATAAAGGAAAATTGTGCCACTAAAAATAGCTTGTTACTTCTCCAGAGTAATGTGGAGGATATGAAAGAACAGATTAATGAACACAATGTTAACAGTAACCTCTCACTGACACAAAGCACAATGAATCAAATATTACTAATCCTTAATGCAATAGATAATATCTCACTGGCTCTGCAGAACAAAATAGATCACTTAATGGCACAGGTTAATGAACACAATGTTAACAGTAACCTCTCACTGATACAGGACACAATGAATAGCATAATTCAACAGATTATGGTACATGCTAACAATACCAACAGGTCTACAGATGAACTACTTCAATTACTGAACACTAGTCTTATTAAAGATATCAGTATACCAACTGCTGCTGCTGTTAATAATGTACTACTAATAGTCAATGAATTACTAGAGATACAGAATGGATCCTCTACTCAAACTGTTTCTTGTAAAAATATTAAAACAGCTTATCCCAACAGTCCTTCTGGTTACTATCATTTTAATAGTCGCAATATATACTGCAATATGGGAGAGCTGTGTGGACAAGATGGAGGATGGACAAGAATAGCTTATCTTGATATTACTATGAACTGTCCTTCTGGACTTCAGGAATTGATGACTGGAGGCATTAGACTTTGTAGGAGAGAGGGTGATTCTGCTGGTTGTAGGTCTAATGTATTCCAAACAAATGGTATCAGTTATAGTCAAATATGTGGTAAAGTGGTTGGATATCAAAAGGGATCAACTGATGCTGTTCACACTAGCGTCAATAATATTAACGGTGTTTATGTTGATGGAGTCAGTATCACACGTGGGTCACCTCGTCAACATGTCTGGTCTTATATAGCTGGACTATCAAGTAATATTAACAGTTATACTTCAGCAGTTTGTCCTTGCAACAGTAATGCTCATGCAAATAACAAAGTTCAATCATTTGTAGGCGAGCATTACTATTGTGAAGCTGGGAGTGTAAATTTTCCTTCACAAGTAGTATACACTGATGATCCATTGTGGGATGGAAAAAGCTGTTTTTCAAATGAAGCTCCTTGTTGTACAGGTACTGGTCTTCCGTGGTTCTTTAGAGATTATGGTAATGCTACCATTACTGATTACATTGAACTGAGGGTGTGTGGTCATGAGGGACATAACAGTGATGATACTCCAGTTCAATTGTATGAGATTTACATCAAGTAAAAAACAATAATTAAAGTAGTGTATGTCTTTGTTAGTAGTTATAGGTTTTTGAACATTGTTATTAGTATAATTAATTCAGTTGTGTAAATAAATTATGACAAACATTGCAAAATTGAAAGCAGAGATAATACAAATTACAATATCTTGACATGATGAAAACGAATGTACTGTTATTCAATTAGATGCCATAACACAAGTGGGTCACCTCGTCAATATGTCTGGTCTTATAGAGCTGGTAAAACCTCACTTACAAGTGCAAGTGGGAGTAAATTACTCCCACTATTATGTTAACAGTCGCAATATATACTGCAATATGGGAGAGCTGTGTGGACAAGATGGAGGATGGACAAGAATAGCTTATCTTGATACGACTATGAACTGTTCCTCTGGACTTGAGGAATTGATGACTGGAGGCATTAGAGTTTGTAGGAGAGAGGGTAATTCTGCTGGTTGTAGGTCTAATGTATTCCAAACAAATGGTATCAGTTATAGTCAAATATGTGGTAAAGTGGTTGGATATCAAAAGGGAACGACTGATGGAGTCAACAATAACAACAATGATATTAATGGCGTTTATATTGATGGAGTCAGTATCACACATGGGTCACCTCATCAACATGTCTGGTCTTACATAGCTGGGCATCAGTCAAACATCAATGGAGGTTCTACCTGTCCTTGTAATATTGAAGCAATTAATACTAATACAGTTCCATCAATTATAGGAGAGCACTTTTATTGTGAGTCAGGTACAAACAGTGCTCCTTCAAAAAGTCAAGTATACACTGATGATCCATTGTGGGATGGAAATAACTGTCCTTCATTAGAAGCTCCTTGTTGTAATGGTACTGGTCTTCCATGGCTCTTCAGAGATTATGGTAATGCTACCATTACTGATTACATTGAACTGAGGGTGTGTGGGAATCAAGATTATGCAGATGAAGATACTCCAGTTCAATTGTATGAGATTCATGTCAATTAAAAGAACATTATTATTGAGAGTAGATTATTATTGTGCAGAATTCATTTGATAGTAGTTTTATAATTAAAAAATATCTTAGAAGCAATACTGTATGTCCCTGCTATGCCTACAAGACATAGTAAAGATGGCTTGGTACCAAGAATAACAACAAACATTAAGAAACATAAACAAACAAATGATAAATTGCTTACAATAAACATTCACTGCACAAGCAACACAATAAATGAAAAACAATAGAACGTAGACAAAAGTAAACTGTCACATACACTATTGATACAAATCAAATTGAGACATCCATGCAGTGAGTTGATAATAATGAGTGGTACTTTTCACTGACATAAATACAACTTTATTTTGTGACCTTGCAAGTACCCAGTGCTAGCTAAAATAGTTAAATTTATTTATGAAATTGTGAAAATAAAACCCAGGAAAATAGGGTCAGTAGTTTTAGTGCTGTTATGTCAAAATGATCAACAATTAATTTTTTAAAAGGTAAATTCTTCAATCCACAAAAATTTACAGAAGTGGAATACTTAATTATTACTTCTATAGAGTATGCATTGTAAAGCAACATCAATGATATCAATAGTACTTATATTGATGGAGATCACATGTGGGTCACCTCTGATCTTATATAGCTGGGTTAAGGCCTGAATCAATAGAGCTTTAACCTGTCCTTGTAATACTGGACTGACTAATACAGTTCCATCATTTGTAGGAGAGCACTACTATTGTGAATCAGGTACAGACATTAATACTTTGAGTGGTCAAGTATAAATACTACACTACTGATCCATTGTGGGATGGGAATGACTGTCTTGCAGCTCCTTGTTGTAATGGTACTGGTCTTCCATGGTTCTTCAGAGATTATGGTAATGCTACCATTACTGATTACATTGAACTGAGGGTGTGTGGGAATGAGGAATGGACCAATAAAGATACTCCAGTTCAATTGTATGAGATTTATGTTATAACTTAGAGCTGTAAACATGTTTGTTGGGAACAAATAATCTTAATTAGCTATGAATGTATAGATACTTAATTTAAGTTCCAGTATCACTGCTGTGCATATAAGGCATAGTAAAAGTGGCCCAGTACCAAGAATAACAAAAAACAAAAAAGACAAACAAATCTTTGTCATACAGTTAGAAAATATTTACAATAGACTAATATACACAACATATCAGTTAGTAGACTACAAACATCATAATAACTTAATAGGACAGAGATATTATTGTATAATGTTAATTTAGGAGGAAGCAGCTTTGCTTGTTATCCTTTACTTTAGTCCAAAAGAGCAATGTATTTTATATTTCAGAACTATATTGTAACCAAACAGTCATTATAAAAGTCATGCAGTATTCATATCTTTCCTGTGAATGATGTTGCCGATTTATAATGATATTCATTGGGATACCGTAAATGGAAAATTCTTCAGGCCGCCATTGTGGAGGTATACTATAATCATTAATCATTAGTTACAATGGACCGACAGGCTAAAAACT